TCCGTACAATAGGACGAAGCGAACTGCTTGCTGCACAGCACACTCGTCCTTTGGTTAGCAAACAGATATCTCGCCTGTGCCATAGATCACACAGGTTGGCAAAAGTCAATCGAGCCTTCTGTATCCGTGCTGAGATTTTGTCAGTCCCGCTGGTCACAGCTTCTCCATACGCTTAAGCATATGATTGTTTTGAAACAGTAATACAGGCTTATAATTGAAACTGTGTAAAACATATTGATAGTGTTAGAACTAATACTACAAATTATTATAAATCAAGTAGAATATTGATTGTGAAAATACTTACAGAAGTTTCTTTCATTGTATGAGTTATAATTTGATCGTGATTACTCACAATACAACTATTCGCATCTGTAACAATTAAAGATGAGGAAAAATCAATAGGTTGTTGTTGATTTAAAATAGATGGTAATTGTTTTGGTAAAGTTGGATAGACAGGTATATCGGCGGATTGTAGACTACAAGCTGCAATAGCCTAAAACAAACAGAATGAAGATTATTGATGAATTGTATGTATTTATTGTAAGTCTGAGAGAAAAAGCAAAAGATTATATTTGAACTCTGACATGTTAGCTATTGGACAGACTGCAATTTTCACTGATAGAATTTGATTAGTACTAGAAAGAACTTGCAAAAACATGACACTGGTCACTATTCACTGATCTTTAATCGTAAACACACACACACACACACTACAAAAAATTAGACAATGGTGAGGGGTGAAAACACAAGAGAGAGAAGGAAAAGGCAGCAGCGATAAATAACAGTAGAGAACGGTATTAGGAATTCAATCAGTATGGGATTTGAATTGACAATTTCATCTCTTTGTGTGCTACTGTAGTATGGCAACTTGAAGTTCTACGCTGCAGCTGACTGACTTAGAGCGGTGGAAAATTCAAAGCATTGGTTAGCAAGCCATTAATTTCACAATTTTATTCAAATTGGATAATGTAGGTTTGTGTTGAATTTAAAAATATATAATATAATGATCGAAAGTTAAGTAAGTGCCTAAATAAGAAATATAAAGACGACGGTTTTGGTAAGCTTAAACAACTCTCTCCCTTTCCCTCTCTCTATATACCATTCAGCATATGGATAATATAGGATATGTCAGTCAGTCAGTCGGTTACAACGTAGAACTTCGTACGTACGCACGTACATCAGTTCAAGTTGTCATACCACATTAGCACAGAGATGTAATTATCAATTCAAATCCCATAGTAGTAGTAAAGGCAGTAAAGGTATTAGTAGTGATCAAAGTGATTAGGGTGAAATAAACTTAAAAAGAAAATCGGTAAAGTGATGAGGAATTCAGAAGGCTAGAATTTAAGGGAACAAAAAGAATGAATGCACCTCCGTCATTGCAAACGATTTTGACCCATGTCATTCAGGGTCTCTAATCATCTATTTCTATCATCTCGCGGACATCAACCAGATAGCTATCTACGCCTACCAACATGGCTCAGCGCACTTTGCCAATGACTTGATAGACTTGTGCCATGTTTTGGTTTGGCCGCCTCTAGATTTCTTCCAACCTAATACTTCACCACAAAACATGACTCGACAAGGCAGTCGGCGGCCCGGCATTCGTAACACATGTCCCAACCACCTCAACTGATGAAGTTTCAATACTTCATCTATTGATCTGCTATCCTTACCTAGTAAAGGATTTTCGTGCACTGCCAAGTGTTTTATTACTTGTCAAAAATATTTACTAAAATGAATACCTCATCGAAAACGTTCTTCTGCAAAAAAAAAAAATTAAGCTTACAAGTCTTGTTTTCGGATGATCCGATGTTCCACTATGTAGTTTTGCCAATGTCGTGGACTTTTTAAAAGGAGCTGAAAATTTTGTCAAAAATCAAAAAAAAAGGTATGATATAGAAATTTGTTTTACGAATTCTTCAATTTCAATTATAAATTAGAAAAAAAATCAAACGATTAATGAAGCTTTTTTAACAGGTTACCATAAAGTGTATAATGTAGTGCCATGTTACGTATACCTACCTACCTACCTACCTTGACAGAAGTGGTTAATCGGTGTAAAAGTCAATAAAAAGTGAGATAGCAGCTATATCGAAACCTAACATGTATATCCATGAAATCAATGATTGTTGGTTTGAACTATATATACTGGAAGATGTAGACTATTGGGGTGTGAGGTTGGTACGATAACTACAATCAGTGATTGTGGCTTAAATATGTATGTACCTCTTTATTCTATCTTAGATATTGAGCTCCACTATGCCTTCATACATAATTGGTCATTCATCAATACTTAGTTTTTCTCGCTATTACTATTGTTAAATTACTTCAACTGCTTTATCATTCCCCTGGTCCATTTCATATTCATCGTGACAATATGAGCCTACACATAAATGCACAAGACTTTACGTCGATAACTATGACTAACTAATGTGGAAATCAATCAGAACAAAAGCTCGTTCTGCACATTAACAAGTAACGAAAACGGTGTGAAGAAGATAATAAACATTTATTCAATACGAATGCCATATGAAAAATGAAGTGAGATGTTAACTTTCTTTACTTCTAACTAATCAGGTATATATTCGATTACAACATGACTTTGAACTATATTCCTAATGTGAGTAAGAGTTGGTGGTACTACTCAAACCGCAGTAGATGGAGTGAGATTAGAATCCGAGATTTAGCGGCTGAAAATTGAACACCTCAACTGCTAAACTATCGATCCAGTTAGAAGAGACAAGATAAACTACACAATATACGGAAGCAAGTGTTGAAATACTATGAAATCGATAACAAACAACTACACGACACTATTTTACGTAAGCGAACAAGCTTCACTTATGATAGAAAGATGTATCGATTTTCACCGGTGGTAATCGTATTGACAGCAACCGATAACAACACCCTGCTTGTACCTAGATAATAGTTAGGTTGTGTTTAGCTTTGGATTTATTTATGATCATTTTCTCAGTCAGTCAGTCAGTTGCAACGTAGAACTTCGTATGTATGTAGATAAGTTCAGCTTGCCATACCACATTAGCACACAGAGACGCAAATGTCAAATCAAATCCCATAGTGACGATAAAGATAGTAGAGGTATTAATGGTAATGAAGAACACTAGGGTTTGAGGATATTGTTGAAGAAGTATAATTCAGTGAGATAAGGTTAGAACGACAAAGGTAAGGGTGCTGACGAATCCAGAAGATTAGGATTTGGGAGAGCTCAAAGAATGGATGCACTTGCTCCATTGCAAACGATTTTGAGCCATGTCGTTCAAGGTCTCTAATTACCGGACCCTAACCAGATAGACTACATCTACCAACATGACTCAGACCACTTGTCAGTGACTTCATGGATTTGTGCCATGTTGTGGTCTGGTCGCCCTAGCTTTCTTCCAACCTATTCCTACACTACAAAACAGCTCGTCGAGACAGTCGGTGGTTAGGCATTCGTAACACATGTCCCAACCACCTCAACTGATGAAGTTTCACTACTTCATCTACTGATCTGCCATCCTTACTTAGTACTCGTTTCCTAACGACAGCATTGCTTACTCGGTTGTCCCACAATATATGTGCAATGCTTCTAAGACATCTATGATCGAATACTAGCAACCTACGAACATCTACTCTTAACGACCATAATTTCACAGCCATATAGGAGAACGGAGCGAACTGCTGCGCAGTACACCCATCCTTTGGTTAGCAAACGGATATCTCGCCTACGCCATAAACGACGTAAATTGGCTAAAGCAAATCGAGCTTTCCGTAATCACGCTGAGATTTCGTCAGTCACCAGTCTATCAGCGCTGATGAGTTGACACTGTTCCCTAATGAATCTAAACTTCGTTTTAATGTCTAAGCATTAAAAAATAAAAAAAGAACAAATTACACAAACAACAACTAACCTTGTTCAACTTCCAACACTGAATAAACATACACTGTATCTGGACCGTTGACTGTCAAATTAGAATTTTCAATGGAATCGCTAGCCGCCAGTGTAATCGGTTTATGATTTGGTCTTAATGAACAAAACTCTAAGAAACCTGATTCAGTTAATTTTTGTGTAATAGCCATTTCATTACGAATTCGTGGCAGCAGAGCATCAAAACGATAACAAAGCCATGGTTCCCATTCAGGAGATAATAATTCACGAATATGCATGATTTGTTCAATAGATGAATAGTAATAAACACATGGTTCATTAGCATAAGTAACAGATGGATTAGAACATTGATATTTCTTGTGATTCTTCTGTCGAGTATTATTAGTAGTATTACTGTCGGAATTGGATGCTTTTGAAGCGGAGTTGGCTGTACTATCAACTTCCTCAGTGTTAACATTGCCGTCGGCTTCATCATCATCATCATTATCATCATCATTTTCTTTCTCTTCTTCTTCGTTGTCGTCCATTTCCGGATCATTTTCCATTAATTCACGACCGTATTCCATCTCCCATGAATGATCAACTACACCATCATGAAATCCCATTAATTGTGGTTCAAGTTGACTGAAATCAACTGGTTCACTACAGCGAAACAATAGATCATTTCGAAATGGAAGCGTTAATATTAACATTATAATAAAAATTTAAAATCACTTTTGACACGCAATATTGGCTAAAAACATACAGTTGTAAACAATGTGAACTGGAGAACGGTGTGATTAACTATACTGTTCCTTCTTAAACTGGATAGATTGCAGAATCAAAAATATGAGACACTCACTAGCGACGAGCTATGAGAGGAAATGTCCAAAGTTTTAGTGAGAAGCTGTGAATAATGGAGTTCAACAGTGTTGGGTGTGAAACAGTTACCCACCAAAGTCCTGGATTGATTGGAGCTAGGTACCGTCGGAACCTAATTCAATTATCTGGAGGTTGAGTATTCTCGACCGTAGCTGCTACCTTGACGTGGTGGTCGGGCTTGACTATCGTGATGACCCAACTGAGCTATATTGGCTGGAACATATGTTCCTGTAGGTTCTACCATGCCAGGCTGGTCGATTGGAGAACGATGAGACTAAAAGCAGTTACCCAAGGTCTGAGGGCGAGGTCGTACTGCTGACTGTGATGGAGGGGTATGAGAGCAGTAAGGTGTTTCCCTCGGACAACCAGCATCTGCAGCGATTCTGCCTTCTCACAAGTAAGGAAGGGGTTAGAAAAGGTCACGCTACCAGGTCTCTAAGACTAACATTAACCCAACTTCTTTACCAGATTCCTCAAATAAGCACTATTCAACGGTGTGGGCAGCCGGGAAGTGAAACCCCCCTTCATACCTGTAACAGCATACGAACACTTCAGGTTAAGTATCCAAGCGCAAAATCGAAGGTCCTAGATTCAATTCCCACCCGTGGGGTTCTAGGAGCATGCTACTGCAAAGCTCCTGGTTCAGACAATGCGACCGCATAATGTTTTCAATGATACTAATGTAGTATTTAGTCTGAGATACTAAATAATCAACTATGAAGATAAGTTTATATTACTAGGGTAGATTATTAACATTCGTATGGTCTGGTCAGGCTTAAAGTGAAATAAGCTGATTGATCCATTTCTGAGTAATCAAAAAGCCATAAAATTCGTTTGTACAATCTACTGAAACTCTAGTGTCTGATAACCGTATCTCAATAGATTTTGAGCTGAACTGTAGAGTTGTGCATGTGAGGGCAACTCACAGATAGGTTCCAAGTGATGACTTCTATCAGACAAGGATGCTGGTTCCTATCCTTTCGATCTCTTCTGGTTTTTTGACCGGATTATGATGACTTCAACATCACAGGAGAAGCACAGAATACAGAGAACACTTTAAAAGCAACTGGATAATACGAACTTTGCAAATGACCTAGCCCTTCTATGTCATACACAGCAACAAATGCAGATGAAGACAGACAGTGTATCAGCAGCCTCTGTAGTAGTAGACCTCAGCATTCACAAAAGGAAAAGTAAGATCCTGAAATACAAAGCAATGAGCATCAACCAAAAAACACTTGATAGAGAAGCTATGGAAGAGATTGAGGCTTTTACATACTTTGGCAGTATCAATGACAAACTATGGGGATCCAATATAGATACAAAGCAGGGAGCACTCCCACAAATGAAGAACATCTGGAACTAAAGACAACTGTCGGTTAACACTAAAGTCAAAATAGTTTTAGTGTAAGATGCTGAAACTTGGATAACGATCGCAACCATCATCAAAAAAGTACAAGTACTCATCAACAGCTGCCTACCCAAGACACTGCGTACACATTGGCCAGAGACTAACAGTAGTGAGCAATTGTACTAGATGAGGAGGAAATCGAGAAAAGACATTGGAAGTGGATAGGAAACCCTTTGTGAAAACCACATTGCATCATAAAGCGAACCCTAACTTAGAATCCTCAAAGCAAAAAGAAAGGGGGAAAACCACTGAACATATGGAACCAGGAATTGAAGGCAGACATTAAGAAGATGAATAGTAATTGGTAATGGCTAGAAATGCGAGCTCAGAATTGGATGAAATCTCCCGATCGGAAACCTATGCATTTAGTTAAATAAGTCCAACACTTGAATATGATTTAAACTAGTATGGGAATAATAGTGAATAAAAGAATGAAATTCTTGTGGGAAGGAATATTAATACATGGATTCAGATAAGTGAGATGAGGTGAAGTGATTTCAGTCACAGAAATATAGTTGCTGACTTTATTTTTAAAAAGTAACAAACACTAGATACAAAACTGTAGAAGTGTTCCCCACAGAATTTTCCCCCATTAAAGAAAGCACTTACATAATTAATCGTCGACTAATGTACCAATATAAACGACCAGCTCGATCTTTCCCAATTGGTTCTTGATAATGTGCTACTCCATTTTTCTCTGCTTCTGATAAACAATCTGTTACACCGGGAGTCTATATTAAAAGAGATTCAAGAAGGGGAAAACATGTAGGGCTGGTTATGAAATAAAGAATAAACTATCACCCTAACATATAGTTCTATTTGATGAAGACGCTGACGAAATGTAGTCTTAAGCAACAATGAAAACATGTTCGGGATCCGATTCTCCCCGTCGAAATGCGAAATTTTGCTTCAGGATTGGCTTGCGTCGGCACCTGAACTAGTGATAGGGAGTGAAGCAGTTGAGCGTGTTGACCGCCGCACTTATCTTGGGAGTCTCAATAGTGCTGATGAACTGGTAGCTGACGAGATCGCAGTACGAATGCAGAAGGTGCGATTGGCTTTTGACAATCTGCGTCACTTATGGCGTAAGCGACATATCCGTCTGCTAACCAAGGACGATTCTACTGAGCAATAGTTTGACCCAACCAACTTTATGAGTGTGAGACATAGCCAGAAAGAGTAGAATATATTCGTAGGTATTCGATCGTAGGTGTCTTTGAAGCCTTATTCATATATCCTTGGACAACCAAATAACCAATGCTGTTGTTAAGAAATGGGTCCTAGGTAAGGGTGGTAGATTGAAACTTCATCAGTTGGGATTGTTGGAACATAGGTTATGCATGCTCAACCACCGACTGCCTCAACGACCTATGTTTTGTGACGTGAAGGTAGGCTGGAAGAAAGCTCCGGGCGGCCAAACCGAAACATGGCACATCCATGAAGTCACTGACAACTGGACTGAGCAATATTAGTAGTGTACTGGGTTGGGGTCCGCTATACAATGGTAACCGATGATTAGAGACTTTAAACAACATGGCTCAAAATCGTTTGCAATGATGCAGGTGCATCCATTCCCTGTGTTCGCTCTACTTCTCTAATCTTCTGAATTCCTCGTCCTCTTTATCTTTCTCGTGTTAAGTTCTATGGAATTCGAACTGACTATTAAAAACTATTAAACCTGTTGACTCTAAGAGAATTAAACGGTAATGAGATTCTGTTAAGCTTCGTGATTTATTTATTTGTATGGCTTACGGAAGTCAGTGGATGATTTTATGAGATTCTAATCTCCTTTAAATAAGAACAAAACATCTCGAATGGAGATTTTCTACATACAAACATGATAAATCACGAAAGTGTATCGATAATACGAACAGATCAGTCAGTCAACAACAACATAGAACTTCGTACGTACGTACATTAGTTCAAGTTGCCATACTACATTTGCAGAGATGCAATTGTCAATTCAAATCCCATTGTAGTAGAGGTAATATAAGTATTAACAGTAATCGGAAATTTTAGGGTTCGAAGATCTTATTCAGGTAGAATCTAGTGAAATAAACTTCATGGAAAAAGATAGAGGTGATGAGGAATTCAGAAGGTTAGGATTTGAGACAACACAAAGAATGAATGCACCTGCACCACTGCCAACGATTTAGATCCATGTCACTCAGGGTCTCTACCCATCGATTATTATCATCTCGCGGACCCCAACCAGGTAGTCAACACCTAACAACATGGCTCAGTTTACTTGTCAGTGACTTCATGGATTTCTGCCATGTTTTGGTTCGGCCGCCTCTAGCTTTCTTCCAACCTATTCCTACGCCACAAAATATAGCTCGACCAAGCAATCGGTGGTTAGGCATACGCAACACATGTCCCAACCACCCCAAACTGATGAAGCTTAAATACTTCATTTATTGATCTGCTACCCTTACCTAGGACCCGTTTCCTAAATGATCGCATATGATTATCTAGGATGCCCAGAAAAATTCACATTTCAATAATCTGAAAATTCAAAATGACATACATTTTTTACTTACAGTGAAATAATCTACACTGATAGATCCTGAATAAAACATTTATGTATGCCAACACTACACAAAAAGCACACATCTGCACACAACACAACAGTTTAAATAAAGTAAAAAAATATATAACTTACTCTTTTATTAATACACACTGGACAAATCCAACTAGTCGTTGGTACAGAAGATAATGGAGGATTTAAACAATGCAAATGGAATACAGCTGTGCATCCATCACAACATAACACTTCTCCGCTTCTATAAAAATAAAAATAAAATAATAAGATAGAAATATATGGAGAAACTGTGCATTGCCTGAAGAGTTTGTATATCAAAGCTATTTTGCGTTGACGTTAATATTTAATTCTTTAAATTGTCAGCACCAATGCGAACGATTCTAAACTATGCCATTTAACATGCTCAACTATGAGTAATGATAAGTGTGCACACTCCAACAAGGCAGTTTACACCTAACTATAAGATTCAACTCAATTGTTAATGATTTCATGTACTACCATCATATCTTGGTCTAATCACCTCGAGCTTTCTTTGAACCTACTACTATATCAACAAACATTGCTCATCGATGTAGGCGGTAACTGGGATTTTGCAATACATATTTCAACTACAGTCAGTCAGTTGCAACGCGGAACTTCGTAAATAAATACATCAGTTCACGTTGCCATATCACGTCAGCACAGAGACGTAACTGTCAGTTCAAATCCAAGAGTGATAGCGATAGTAGAATTATTAGCAGAAATGGAGAAGATTAGGGAGCGAAGATATGATTCGAAAAGTATAATTGAGTGAGATAAAGTTAGAAAGAGAACGATAGAGATGATGAGGAATTCAGAAGGTTAGAATTAAAAACCACACAAAGAGTGGATGCACCTGCGACATTCTAAACGATTTTGGGCCATGTCGTCCAATGTCTCTAACAATTAGTGACTTTCATCTCGCGGACCCCAACCAGATAGCCTACATCTACCAACATGACTTAGTCCACTTGTAAGTGACTTCATGGATTTCTGCCATGTTTTGGTTTGGCCGGTCCTAACTTTCTTCCAACCTACCCCTACACCACAAAACATAGCTCGTCAAGGCAGTCGGTGGTTGGGCATACGTAACACATGTCCCAACCACCTCAACTGATGAAGTTTCAACACTTCATCTATTGATGTGCCATCCTTACCTAGTACTCGTTTCCTAACGACAGCATTGCTTACTCGGTTGTCCCACGATATACAAGCAACTACCTCAGTTGGTGAATATTCACTACCACAACAGTCACCCATATATATAAGCTGAACGCGAAAAAGTAAACTTCTGATTGTAAGTTTACACATATATTTTACCTGAAGGGTAGATGAGAATGAAATTAACTAACCCAATATAACTTCGGATTCCATTAATCCGCCATGATGATAGTAACCAAACTGTTTGCCTACATGCACATATACACACTTTCATATCCCTTTACAAATCAATTTGACAAATATACATTGTTTTTATGTTTTGGCTTATTGTGAATAAACAATTATAGTAATGATAAGTGTGCAAAATTGTTTGCTAATTTTAAAAATGTGCTTTAACAAGCTGTAGTTTTGGTTAGTAAACATGCAACAAAGCCAATGGCGGTTGTATTCAGTGTTCGGTGTACACAATACTCTTAGATAACAAAAATTTGTGTTTTCTAACCACATGCACGTATAATGAATTTCAAAATGTAAACATTTACTTACTGATGACAAACGCGACAATAATCTTCGTGTGTCATCAAACCTTCCCGAAGTATATCGCCTCTAACTGGACCAGTTGCCAGGAACAAGCTTGTGAGACCACGCAAAACAGCTATACGTGATTTAATTGGCACGAATGGATAATCTGGATTCAAGGGAATCAAGTCAGGAGGGAAAAGGGCAGCAGTAAGTACTATATCAGCTCCACCTGATCCGGTGGGACCACCAACTGAGCCAGCAGCTGTTGTTGTATTAGCAGCAGATAAACGAGCTGCTGCCTCGGTAGATTTAATACTAGACAAATAATTGGCTAGTAGGTAAGGCCATGTAAACCGATCTAGTAGATAGTATGTCAGGTTTACCGAATCTTTACTATCAACAGGACACATTGAAGTTCCATTGGCTTCATCTTCACGTAAGAGAGCTTTAAGGAGAACCATATGAGCTTCAGCGAGTAGATTGGAATTTTCATCAGATATAAGACAAGCTGCAAAGTCTTCCAACCTGAATGGAGACAACCGTAATAGAGAACTGTAACGTCGAAGTACTTCATATATATTTAAGACATCAAGAATATATTCACGAGGGCACACAAGATCGTTTGCTGATGATGGTAAGATAAGAGGAGGAGAACGAAATCTCAACTCTATAGGATCCATTTCTAGCATTTTTTGAGTATATGGGTCATTAAGAGAAGCAGTAGAAACCGTTGTGCGCAGAGTATTCAAATCATTACTGTCAGTAACACTGAGAGATTCACATTTAACACAAGATTTTTCTTCTTCCAAGTTAGAAGGGATGACAGGAGATGGCGGTGGCGGTAACATATCCAAGATAGATTGTCGAAAAGGTGATGCTGGTTCTTGATAGTCCTCCTCGTTCTGTTCATGAATATCATCTAAAGATCTTGGATAATCATTTTCTTGCAAAAAGCCACTTCGACCTGCAACTTTGTCATCGAGTTCACTAAGATCATCACTATCACTAACCTCTCGAAACCCTGTTAGTGCAGTATAATTGGTTTGTTTTTTGTTTCGATTGCTAAATTCACGTTGACTGCCAGATTGACAGCTTAAATTACTATCTGAATTGGTAGAAGTTTGAAATGGATGAGTGATAAATGATGGATCAACTTTTGCACTGCCTCTTCTACCTTGTGCATTAGCACGAGCAGCAGCTCGTGCTTCCATTTCCTGAATAGCAAATAAGCATAAACACTTTAGAATAGAAAACAATATGACAATAAAAAAATAAGAAATGTTGCTTACTTACTTACTTACGCCTGTTACCCCCAATAGAGGAGCATAGGCCGCCGACCACCAGTTTTCTCCAACCAACTCTGTCTGTCCTGGGATTCCCTTTCCAGTTCTGTCCAATGTTTGTACATTCCACTCATATCTTTCTTTATTTCTCGGCGTGTAATGTGTTCTTTGGCCTTCCTCTTTTCCTTTTGACCTAGAGGGTTCTATGTGAGGGCTTGTCTCGTGACGCAGTTAGGTGCTTTCCGTAGTGTGTATCCTATCCACCAACTCCACCGCTTCTTCCTGATTTCCTCATCCACTGGAATCTGGTTGCACGAATTATCATTGGATAAAAAAATTCTTACGGACTGCTATAGACTTTGTCACGATGCAAAAAAAAGTCAATATGCAGCTTTAGATCGTAAGGTCTTGGAAATCAGGAATACATGTATCCTTATGAGTTTTGATGATTTCAGTCAGTACAATTGAAAATAATACACTTCAGTAAAGTGTTAATAAGTAAATGATCATTCCAAAAAAAGACAATACGAATAAAAGGAACTTGATGTCTACCAGACTTGTGCTTGAAGAATATTAATTCAACGTTTGAAGCAAAATCCTCCGATGCAATACAACATGCACCAATCAAATCACTCTTGATGCAGATGCCTTGGAGGACGTTAACACCTTTACCCCTATCTGGGCAGCATCATCGACAACTAAGGTGGATCCGATGCAGATGTGAGGGCGCGGATTGACAAAGCAACGGCTGCATTTTTACAGTTGAAAAATATCTGGAACTTCAAACAACTTTCAACCAAAACCAAAATCAGGATATTCAATACAAATGTCAAGACAGTTCTACTGTATGGAGCGGAAACTTGGAGAACTACCAAAGCCATCATCCAGAAGATACAAGTGTTTATGAACAGTTGTCTATGCAAAATACTTCGGATTCGTTGGCCAGACACCATCAGCAACAACGTACTGTGGGAGAAAACAAACCAGATTCCAGTGGAGGAGGAAATCAGGAAGAAGCGGTGGAGTTGGTGGATAGGACACACACTACGAAAAGCACCTAACTGCGTCACGAGACAAGCCCTTAGATGGGACCCTCAAGGTAAAAGGAAAAGAGGAAGTCCAAGGAACACATTATGCCAAGAAATAGAGAAAGATATGAGAGGAATGAACAAAAATTGGACAGAACTGGAAAGGGAAGCCCAGAACAGAGTTGGCTAGAGAAAACTGGTGGGCGGCCTATGCTCCAACGGGCGTAACAGGCGTAAGTAAGTTTGAAGCCACTCAGTAACCAGATGATAACAATTTATATAACTTACTGCATTCGAATTAACAACATATGAACAATTCATTGATGTCGTTTACGGGAAATATTTAACAATAGTTATTGGATATTTTTAACCTCTTATTATCAAATGTCGTTATAAATTTGTGCTATATCTCCTGCTTCATCATATTTTGACGTACATAATCTAATGATAACAATTCATAATTCAGAAAAGACATGCTTTAGCTCACATGAAAGATAGAGAACAAACAAATAATGTCGAACTGTCAAAAATCAACATACAGATTGAGGCAAATGAGCGTTAGCCACTGTTACACTATAGTAGTACAATGAGATGAAAACATCAAAATGACTAGTGAAGTTCAGTAGTAGCAGCAATGATATAGACAAAGACTATATATGAAGCAACAATGTAGTGCATTTAGAGCAAAACAGTATATCCAAAATAGTGTGCAACTGTGTGTACCACAATCAGGTAGTCTGTATATAAATGCATAAAATCGAAACACACGAAGTATACTGATATTCCTAGGAGCCAAAGTGGATGAAATCGTTCAAGGAAATAAATATTGAAGGGCATATCTTAAATAACCTGATAATTATGTATTGTACAGCCAGATGTCCATTACTGTTAGCCAGGGATATAACAAAATACTAATACAATGGCTGCTGGCTTTTATTCTCAGTGATAACATTTAAAGCTACTTAGATTCCCATTTAGAAAACCACGATGTCATCAGATAGCAATCTGATGCGAGTTGAAAAGTATTTTAAGTGCTGATCTTTTACTGCTTTGGGTAAATCTACTACCACGGAAGAAGGGAATCAGTCAACCAGTACTGATGACCCAGTTAGTCAGTTCTGTTTTAGCTTTGTTGCTGACTACAACATAAAAGATGGTAAAACCGAATACTACTTCCACCAAGTCATGGAATAAAGACGCGTGGGTTTTCATTTGAACTCTCTAAATTAAAAATTCGCAGTACTTTATTTGATTCTTAAACATGAACTGAGATACAGTCTATTAACAGAAATATATTCTAGTTTCCAATAATCGCGTCTGCTATCGGATAAATTTATTGAGAAAACATTCCTTTGCTTTCGCATAGAAAATGATCTGAAACCAAAATGACTTAGGAAAAATTTGATATCAGCAAATCTGAGAAAATTATAAAATACAAGCTCCGAATTACAATTATGTGATATGTGAGTCGACGCCTAGTGTTGATCTTTTAATCTAGTAAAAAAACACTTAAATTACCATGATGAATGAGTGGCATGTCAGTATGAGCAGTCAATTGGAGACATTAAGGATATTAATTAAGAATTTTTACAAAACAATTAGACCTACGCGTTTTTTCCTGGACACTTCCTCGGCATCTTCCCTCATTTTTTCCTCTTCCAGCCTTCTAAAATATTCATCATCATCTAATTCATCTTCAAGGCCTATATTAGGTTCATCTGAATCGCTTGACTCTAACCACGGCTGACTTGGGTCGGCTGGACGCTTTCGAGCTCCATTTCTGCTACCTTTAGGACGTCCACGTCTTTTACTTTGTCGCCTTCGAGCCTCAGCTAAAAAAGAAACATGTATAGTCATAAGAATTCATTATAAGTAGTGCTCAAAACGAAAATCAACCAAATCGAAATTATAGTCAGTCTTAATATAGTATATATTACTGGAATATAACACACAAATATTAAGTATGAAGGTAACTGATGATAAAAAAACGTACAATTACTTCTGGATACTGAGGTAGTATCATCATCCTTCAACATTTTCTCATAATTTATCAAGTCATTTTGGTCAATCACATTTTGTTTGGAGTTTTCTTTGATCTGGTCCCAATTCGCGATCTCAACAGGGTTGAGAAAAACCACTTTCGTCCGCCTTTTTGCACCAGCCAACGAGCTGGCAGCACCACCACCTGCAAGGCCATTCGTGCCAGCTGATGACGAATCCATTTCGGCCTCTTTCAGAGGCAAGGTAAGCAAATTTCAAGGTCACAAATATAGTCCAGCAATCTAGTGAGCGCGCGTTGCGATTTTTTGAAATAGACATCAACGACTTAAACAAGCATATTTATGAAATTCGTTTTACATCATTATCTAAGATATTTGGGAGGGAGCATGTGCTTTACGTTAGTCAGACACAACTCCAGTCATCAATAACGATACATTTTCGCTGAAAAATTGTCTTACTGGTCAGAAAAAGTGCTTTCCGAAACTGCCCCATAGTTATTGCAGAATTCATCGGTGCTTGCTATTTCATTTCATTCTTTTTCTAACTGCTGCACTAAAACTCTTCTCGAAATAATGGAATGGATTGCTCACATCCTTGATCTCAATAGAAGTCCTCAAAAATTCATAATTTTTGTCATTGGTTAGGGATCGGTATTTGGAGGTTTCTTCGTAACTTGAACTCCCTGAAAGCCTAAAGTCGTAAGTTTTTCCTGAAATTTTTCTTTGTATCTTATACCATAACTTCTGTTTAAACGACAAGGTAAAACTCTCAGGTTGTTTATAAACACGAAATCTACTCAAAATTGATAGGAACACTATATATCAAAATTTCACTAATCACTTTAACATAGTGGATGGCTTATATCAGACATTTTACTAAGGATTGAAGTAGCTGAAGCTTCACTGTGAACTTGCTACCCCCTCATAATTCTTCGGGCTTTTCTTATGTAGTAAGCTGGTATGTACATTATATCGAATTCTGACTACACTATCCTAGAAACTGAACATACTGGCCAATATTATTTGTGTACTCATCAGACTTTTAATTCACTTCACTATTCCATACATCCCAAAAACCCCACTCCTAGTATCTTACTTCACTGGCTGATCATGACCAGACAGAATCCCACCTTGTAAAACTGCTTACCTCAGTAAACTGTTGATTGATCAAAAGTCATATTACAATAAAATAAAATGAGAGGCGGAGAGGAAATGGAGTCCACTAGACAAAACGGTGAGAAACTCTACAAAAACAGAACTTATTCTTTGGATTCAGATACGTGCATTGAGTTCAAGAAGCTGACAGCTTACGTCAGCCCTTTGTTAGCAAGCCTTTGTAGGCATTTACTTAACTCTTGAACAAACCACTTGAAGTTAATGCCAGCATTTCTTGTGATTATTAATTGCAAAACTTTTTCATTCGGTGGTAAAACTGAAATTATATTGCAGCTTTTCGTTCATAGTTTTTGAACCCGGTTTCTATGAGAATATAATGAGCCTACATGACTTTGTACAGCACCGGCTTATAGACTTTCCGTAAGTGTGAAGCATCAAGTTTCTTCAGAGTTTTCAATCATCCGGAGAATCAGCGCATTTTCACACTGAAGTGTTGATATCGGTTAGTGTTATGTATCATCAAGATATCATGCCTTTGGAACTCGCTAGTCACTTCTTGTTTAGAAATGCTGGGGTAGTGTCAAAGTTTACTTAAAATGTGTGTTCGTAGACCATCTTCCTCAGGTGTATGCAAGCAGTATACAAAAACAAGACCCTTAAACTGGTCTTCTGTCATAGATGGCAGCTTGAACCTCTCACAATGTCAGTTCACAATACTAGCATGCCTCGTCTAGTCATCTTTCAGTACTTTTTTTGCCGACAATAATTGGTTTCAGATATTCACAAAAATATGTGTCTGTTCTACAAATATCTGAGACAGGGATTCGATTACTTCGTCAAAAATAACATGCCATGGTTCACTGAAAAATAAAGTTACTCAAGCGTTCTGCTGTTTCAAGTCTTTCTATAAGTATTCTGACCTTTCAAACAGAGATTAATGTGGGATATATACTCATACTTCTTGGATCAATAGTGAAATGTACCTCTTTCTACAGCATCAAAATGAAATTCATGAATGGCATTAATCACTCATTCTGTTTGTCTCTTGGAGTCCATCAGATACAGAAATTTGCTGGTGCCTCTATAGCTCTTGTTTCCGACTGTCCAAACGTTTTCTCCGGACGTTCCATGTAGACTTCTGATTAGTCAAAGTAATATTCAGTATAGATTTCCCAGTTTCTACTGATGATTCTATTAAATGAACGCAATATATAAATTGCTATCCGCCTCTAATAACCCCAGGCTACTTCGGCGCTGAGACTTGAGCACAAGAGGCAAAACACCAAGAACGAGAAGATCGCTGTACTCCAAGTTTAGTTATGTACAGCAAAATGAATGCTTTGATCTGATCAGGAGCTTCTGAAAGGTTTGGCAGCCATACTTAATATGGAGCCTGGAGTTGTGGTTTCTCAACTACAGTATTATTTTACGATGCAAAGCATCAAATCTGAGCGAATTCGGTACACAGACCTATATCATGTGCCTCCCCATTCACTCACTGAAGATGTCCGTGAACTTATTTTTATTCCCTTCATTTCACCACTAACACCATTTTAAGCCTTGGAATAGTGGATCGTCTTTTCTTATCTGAAAGTCCAAAGGCGTTTCCAAGGGGAACACTGAGTGGTACGTTGCCTTGCCAGTTCCTCCAGAACTTCCAAGTCATAGTTGGAGATGGAGGTCTCTCGATAAGTGTACATGCGATCCATCATGCAAAGAATGGAAATCGTCAAACAACACAGCCATAGCAGAACTGATTGCAAGTGTTAAGAGTCTGACAATGATAGGCACATACATGCAATATATCGCACATACCGGAAAAGGTCACCGCAACTAGTGTAATATCATAAACACTTGGAAAGTCTGGACGGTTCTGCCGGCATCAATGAAGGTTTGGTGCTAAATCGACAAGGTGCAGAAAACTAGTGCCTGGCCTAAACAGGTTCCCAAGATTTCGGGAACAAACCCAACTACGGTCGCGACGATTCGAGAGAAGTTCTTAAATATTTTTTGTTCTGCCCATTTCTCCTATTTTCTCCTTTTCAGGACCTTATCCTATGCCCCAAACAATAGATTTGGTATTCTCGTGGGCTTTTAATTGCTCCACCCAGAAGGCTGTCAAATTACTATCTTGAGAATGTCGTCAAGAAGGTCAATACATATATACCTCATCAATTCCTGTTATCTACAGGCCTGGATTTAACTTGCATTGATTCTCAATAGGCATCCGTCGTCGCAACACAAAATGTTTAGAACTATCAACCAATAAAATTACTTCAGTAGTATCTAGGGTGGTGGAGAAAGTAGTAAAGGCGGCGGTACTACAACACCGACTTAGTAACAATCTCATATCGACCTAACATTATTTGTTCTTGAGGTCCACGTCATTCGATTCATGCCAGCTAGATTATCTCAATGATGTTACCCAAAGAATAGGAAGGGTTTCTGCTTTCGTTCATATTGTTGGACTTCAAGTAAGCTTTTGATAAGGTCCCACATAAAAAGCTTCTCCTCAAACTAATCACTAACCCACTATATTCGTGGTTTGTTTCATTCTTATGTGGACGCAGAAAAATGATGAAGTATAACGATTGCATTTTATCATCAAGATCAATAACCGGTGGAGTTATCCACGGAAGTGTATTAGGTCTACTCTTTTTTCACAAGTACATGAACGATATATGTAAAACTATAAAATTTGGAAGACCATATTTATATACGGATGATCTCTAAAAAGTATACAGTTGCAAGCCTGGAGATCTGGAGGAAAATATAGCCACGATTAAGTGTGGCCTGGACAACTTATTTACCTGGAGCGAAACATGGCAGCTTCCATCTAACCACGACATATGTGGCACTATACATCTTAGTAAGCAACGCAATGGAATACCACTCTACTTAAAAAGTTGTGCGGTTCAGACAGTCACATCGGTGCATGATCTGGGTATTCATTTCTCCGGAAGCGTAAAATTTGAAGAGCATTTCACTCCTACTATCTCTAAATCTAGACGGCCAGTGGAGTGTAAAATTAGAGCTAGGCTTGCGCTCTTTAGCATCTAAATAAGGCCTTTCCTGAATGCCGCTCATTTATATTGTCAAACATGAATATCATAGACAAGATACGAATCGGATATGTCTGAAGAAGCTTTACCGCTACGACTGAATCATACTCCCTACATAGAAACGTCCTTAGGAGAGTCACAAAAATAGCACACTAAAATACACAGCAGCCAATCACAGCCAAGGATTTTACTGGTGGAGAATGTGATCTCAAGGTCAACTGATCAGCCCATGAATAAAATCCGAAATTAAGACATTTATCAAGCGAGTTCTGGGGATCTAACGTCCCCAACACATTATTATTGCTATTATTATCTGTCTGAGGGCGACATCGTACTGCTGACTGTAGAGGGGCATAGCAGTGTTGAGGTGACTCCCTCCGAAAACCAGCATCTGCAGCGATGCTGCCTTCTCACAAAGAAGGAAGGGGGTTAGAAAAGGTCGACCCTAAAAATGTCACACCTCACCTTATATCATGGATTTTTGTCTCCGGTGGTAAGGCCTTCTAAACACGAGTGGAGCTAACACTTCAAAAAAACCTCTCATAAAAAGGTTGTGTGTGACCGGCTTCAAGCAGTGGTTCCTCGGGCTCTGCGGTCACGCTCCCAGGTCTCTAAGATCAATGCTAATTTACCTTCCTTTTCAGGTTCCTCTGACTAACTGACTACAACTTGATCCATAGAATTCGATTAGTATTGATCTATACATGATATTGATCACAGTACTCATCGATTAATAAATTATCAATAGACTGAATTACTGTAGCTAACTTATATAACTAAATCAAGGGAGTTGTATGTCTAATCCTTCATTTCATTATAATAAACCTTCAGTGGCTGATTTGAGCTTACTACTAGGCTTACTACTTTGGCAGTCCGTGATCTTCTTTGGATGAAATAAATCTCACCTTCATTTTTCGTATATTATAATAGTTAGGTGAACATCGTTTATGCGACTATGGTGATCGGAAAGTGAATACAGATACGCTTGAATAAGTTTTTATTTCAGGCAATCGTTTGTTCAGACAAACATCAAAAGCATAAAAGCAGAGCAAAGCGAAACGAAGCGAAGTGTAAAAGAATGCAATGAGGCATAACTA